CCCCCCAGTCTCCTCACCTGTCTCGACACCTCTCCCCAGCACCAAGCTCCATCTCTTTCTCCACCCTCAGGAAAGCCTTTTTCTAGCCTTTTCCTAGAACCCCCTCCCCTCCCCGGTGAAGGAAGCAGCAGCCCCAGGCGAGCACGGGTGAGCGTGCCAGGACCCATCCTCACCGCTACCCAGCGATCTGGGATGCGGGGGGGCTGCCCCTGTGACGCCCTGTGCAGCCTCTCGCGGGGACTTCCGACGGCATGGGCCGGGCCAGGCACGGCCGGAGGTGTCGACCCGCAGAGCCGGGGGCTCGGGCCTGCTGGTGCCTTCTGCTAGCGGCTGTGGGATGGGAAGCGTTCGGCGGGTAAGGGAGCACGGTGGGCAAGGAAGCCTTGTTTGCTGCCTTGGGCAGGCCAGGTGCTTCTGGGGCCGTAACATCTTCAGCCATTGCTCTCCGCTCGGCTCCAGCATAGCGGGGTGCTGAGGTGGTGTTGCTCGTGTGAGCGTGGTCGGCTGGGTGGTTACGTGGTGACATGTTGGAGGTGGGAATGAGCGGAGGCTTCACACCTGGGGCTGCAGCTGGACGCCAGCTGTGGGTGATTCTCAGCCCCGCCGGCCCTGCAGATCTATAGATTGGTGGCCGGATGCTGTCGAGCTGTGCCGGGTTCTGTCCATTTCCCTCAGCCCTCTGCCCCCAGGTCCCTCACTGGGCGCTCCAACGGCCGCCTGTGATTGCTGCGCTGCCTGCCCGAGCCGCTGGGCGCTGCTGCAACATGGCTGGGAGAGCTGCACGCCCAGCAGCTGCACGCTGCATGAGGGACGGCTGCCGCCGGGCTAGGAAAGGGATGGGGGCTGAGGGCGTCGGGCTGGCTCCGTGTGCACACCATCCCCGGGGATTCTGCTCACCCAGGGGCACTGCCTCGTGCAGGAGGTGACATGGCGACTTGAATAGCGAGAGGATGTGGCGAGCAGGTGATGGCACTGAGGCTGGGGGGGGGCTGCAGGCCGTGGTGCCGGTGGCTTTGGTGTTGGCTGTTGGTAGGTAGTGAGGGGAGAGCTGCAGGCACAGGGTCTCTGGAGGCGGCTGCCCACTGCTGCAATGGCGTTTTAGGAGCCAGAAACAAAAGCAGTTGTCTCTCCCATCCTCCACATCATCCTCCAAAAGCCCCGTGCTCAGGGTTGTGCCTGGATGGGAAGGTGGCACAGCCAGGACTGCCCCACTGCACTTGTGTCTGAGAACCTGTGTGGGGGTGATGGGCTGGGTGCTGAGTGATGGCTGATCATCCTGGCAACAGCGTGGTGAGGCAATGATGGGCTGGGTGATGGGCACATCACGTTGAGGTAATGTGCTGGGTGTCGAGGTGGGTGACCCTGATTTTTGTGATGGGATACCAAAGGTTGGTCTGCATCTGAGGGATCTTGACAGTGGGGCTCGCTAGGCCCCCTCCACACTGTGCTGCCCTGACCAAGCGCCAGCACTGAGCCGGCACCCAGCTGAGCCTGGCCCCGTCTCCTTGCCCTATTCTCCCATCTTTTGCTCACCCTAAAGCCCCTCCTGCTCCCCAGCTCACCCACTGGCTTCCTCCCGCAACAGGCTGCTCACAGAAGATGCTGTGGGCGTGCGCAGCTCCTCCTCCTCCTGCCTGGGGCCTGCTGTAGAGCAAGCTGGCTGAAGCTGGGAGGCAGACTGGAGAGCTGAGTGCCTCGAGGGCAGCAGCCAGGGGACTGGTACAGTAAATGCCCCCTCCCTGCTACACTAGACTACACTCCAGTTAACACTCTTTGTGTTGCTACAGTTAGTCATGCTGCTCCTGTAGCCAAACCCTGCAGCCAGAGCTGCTCACACACCCACCATTATCGGATGATAGACCAGGGGATGCCCTCCTTGCCACAGGTGTTTGAGAGCAGATAGGATGCACCTTCAGGAGGATCTTTGTGAGCACAGTTCCCTGTCAGTCCCACTCAGGGTTTTGCGGGCTGTGATAGAGCTGATGAGAGTGAGAGCTGCTTTGCCTTGCTGGTGTTTTCAGCCTCTTTCAGGGGCAGGAGAAAAAGGCAGGGGTGTTCCCCACGGAGGGCGATGAAGGAGAGTCTTCATCGCTTCCCTTAGGAAGTCCTGGAGCATCTCTGTTAGATGAGGAAAGGGCAGAGTAACACAGAGATTTTTTTTTTAAATTAACTCCATTGAGCCAGGAAGATTTGAACAGAACCGCTGCCCCTGATATGAGAGATGGAGTCCAGGGTGGCACTATCTGGGAGCAGAGCTGAGAGGCACTGAATTCAGCACAGAGAGTAAAACCCACCAGCATCACCTCACCAAGGTGAGGACTGACTCTTTCCCCCTCTTGGTGGGCAAGGGCAGGAGAAGGAGTGGGTGGAAGGGGCACCAGCGCTGGGTAACCAGATGCCCGCTGCGGGTGTGGGGACCGACTGCTGGAGCGCTCCCAGGAGCCGGGCTGGCTGGCTGGCAGGCGGAGGCAGTCAGCATCCCCAGCAGAGAGCAGGGATTTGGCATCAGCTCAGCTGGGGAGGTTATTTTTTATTTTTTTCCCCCTCCAGGACAGCTGATTCCATCTATTTTTAATGAGCTTGCCCAGGTTGCGCAGTGAGGAGACAGAGCAGTGCCAGCAGCCATAGACTGCGCTGGGGCAGCGGGCACCTGGCGCTCGTCCTCTCCTCGCTACAGACTGAGGACTGCCTCAGGGTGGGAGCGTGCCTCCCGGGGAAGGGTCCTCCTCAATGCAGCTGCCCCCGAGCATGGAGTCAAGCACGGAGGAGGAGAGCTGGCTGGAAGATCACTGGGAGAAATGGTAGGGGACCGGCAGGCCTGGGGTGAGGGCTGTCCCCGGGGCTGTGCGTGGGAACGAGGGACAGCCCCTCGTTTGTGGGCTCATCGCCCTCTGCACCGAGCGGTGCCTCGGGGCAGCAGCAAACTCAGTACTGAATGCAGCCCCAAATTCTCCCAGCTGCTCAGGAGCTGTGGGCGCGGGAATGTGCGGGATTTGTCAGCAGGGCAGGAGGAGGGAGCTGCAGCACACAGTGTGGGGATAAAAGGGCTGTGCGTGGGGGTCCTTTCTGCCCATGGGTGCAGGTGGGGATGGTGCTGGCTGCCTGCACAGCATCTCCCCATACCCAAGGTGGGGGGGTGCTCTGTGCCGGGACATGCGGTGGGCAGAGGTAATGAGCGGTTGGTAATGACACCGGTGACCCAAGTAACTGGAGAAGAAATCGATTTGTGCATTGAAGGCTGTGCTGAGAGCCTTCTGCTCTGCGTCTCTGCAGGCAGCAGTGGTGGGGGATGAGGGACCCTCTTCCCTCTTAGCGTGGCCCCTCTGCATCTCTTGGGGGCACCTCCATTCCTCCCAGCCCTGCAGGGGAACTGCCATAGCCGGCAGAGGACTCTTTGGCTGGGCTGTTGTGTTTTCCTCCCTGGAACAAGCACGAGGAGCATTGCGGTAGTATGATGTAGAAATGTTTTAGTGCACAGGAGCCATGAGCTCCCTGGGGATGCAAGTGAGCACGTGAGGAGCAGGGCAGTCAGCACATTTGCAGCCGCTAAAAGGAAATCTCTGCAAACTTTCCAAAGGGACATGAAGAATGTGTGAGGCTGTAAGGGAGCCTTCAGGGGCTCATCGGGGTGCTGAGCAGCACCAATGGCTGAAAGGATATTGCAGCCTTCCCATAGAGGGAATAATGGTACAGAGGGAGCTCACTGCTCTCTGTATAGGGGAACACCTTGCTGGGGCAACTCTTGAGCCCACTTGTGTGGGTCCACTCTCTGCTTGTTTCACAGCCAGTGGGCAGGTGCGTGCAAAGGCTGTGGATCTCAGTGCAATCTCATGTCCTGGGGTATTCACATTCCAGCTGTGCCTTGCCGTCCCCTAGCTCTCCTCTCCAGAAACATCCTTCTTCCTGGTCCTTCTTCCTTGTAAAGACCCAGAGAGCCCCTCCTGGGGATCTTGGCGCTGCTCCTTTCCTGCATCCTGCCCCCTATGTGCTGTGTGTGACAGTGGTCTCTGCTCCCCCCCAGGCTCACCCACGACATCAGCCTTGAGGAGTTTGAGGATGAAGACCTCTCTGAGATCACTGATGAGTGTGGCATCAGCCTACACTGCAAGGACAGCCTGGCCACCCGAGTAAGTGCATGTGCTGGGGTGGGGACGAGATGGGATTCTGTGTTGTGCTCGTGAATTTCATGCTGGTAGTGAGCAGGGAGGTGTGGTGAGACCCATTCTTGGGGAGGCACTGGTGGGCTTCTGCAGCCTCTCATATGGGACCTTTCTGGGGCAGGGAGAGGCTGATGCTGGAGGAGAACTCCATGATCTGCCAGGTGTGTTAGGACAGGGGTTGCAACTCTTTCCTGGAATGCGGGTAAGAAAAATGTGCCGTGTTGCCCATTTACAACAGAATCCTTCTGTTGTGGGGTTTGTTGAGGAGTTTCTGTGTGTCTGTACTGCGAAGCAGAGCCCTGTGCTGTGGCAGGGATGGTTGGGGCACCAGTGTTGAGCTCTGTGCCTTGCCCAGCACCCACTGTAGGGCACCCTGCGTCTGCTGGTTGCATGGACACAGTGAGCTGATCCTAAACACAGCAGCCTACATGCTCAGAAAACAGCTGCTAAAAATACGTACAAATGGCTTACATGGGGTATGAAGGATTGCCTGAGGAGCAGAACTGGAAGCAGTGGCAGTGAGAGGGTTCTTCAGTCTGAAACATAGGTGGGGAGAGCCAGGTGCTCTCAGAGCTGGAGAGGATGAGTCTCACGAGATGAGAGCCTGATGTAAGTGGCTGTAGGAAGTGGCCAGGCCCAGGAGTGTTTTGGACGGTTTTGGCTCCGTGTGCTGTGCAGAGCCTGGGAAACTGGGAATAAGCCCAGCATGGGATTGCTGACTGCATCCTGGAGGGACACAGCCTTTGCTAAGGGCAGGAGCTAACCTGAATATTCAGTGAGAGGTCCCTGAGGAAAGGGCAGACGCCATAATTCCCCTGTAAACAAGGCAGGGTTGGAGAAGGCAGCTGTTGGATGTGGACAGGCAGGCAGAGAGGCCCAGCAGTAAAATACCGTCTCAGAAGACAGTACCTCAACAGAGAATTTGGGGTGTTTTTTTTTTTTTTTAATTCTGGAAAAACAATGATGACTTCATCACGGGCTATTTTAGCAGATCTCCAGAAATAGTGGCTTCAACACTCAGCCTGCAAGGCGCGGCTGGCTCCTCCAAGGCGGGTGCAGCGAGGGAGGTCGTGAAGCACAAGTGCAAGGTCTTGGCTTTGGGTTTGGCCTCGTTCCGTTTGTCTTGAAGTGCAGGGCTCCTTACGTCTGATTGCTGCAAGGCAGGATAGTAGGCTGCCCATTGCTAGGGCTCGTCAGGCTCTTTGTGTTCTGCGAAACTGTTTGATGTGGGAATGAAAATGGAAAAAATAAAGTAAAATAACCTTTTTAGGAATGTCAAGAGGAGGGCCCAAGGAAAAAGAGCTGGGATATGTCTGTATTAAACCTTCACATTCTGGGCCTGTGCTGGATGCACAAAAAATCTTGAACCAGCCATAGGAAGAACAAATCCCTTTGGTTTTACATCAGAATAAGGCTCCTGGAAGTGCCAAGCTTCCCCCTATCACCATCCCTGCCTCCGTGCAACCTGCACCAGCTGCAGCTGCCTGACCCGGAGGCTGATGGCAGCAGTGTGGTGGCTCAGTGCCAGCCACCCGGTTGCTCTGGGATCCCACTGCATGGAGCAGAGACACAGCAGCACAGCAGCTGCTTGCTTAGGCTACTTTTAAACAACCTCCTCTACCCCTGCATCTCCTTCCTAGCACCTTCAGAGTGCAAGGCCTTTCCTTTGGAGAGAAAAAAGTGGCATCCATCCATGCCCAGGGTTGCAGCACCACCTGTTGTGCTACAGCCCATTAAACACATTCCGACAGCGGTTGTAGTTTCCTCTTAGCTATGAAATCTTGAATGGAGCATCATTCCTAGGGTGTATATTGCTCCCAGACATTGTTTTGCTGTTCTGTGTCCTTCTGGGACTTTCCTCCTCTGAGTTTACCCAGTGATTTGGGATCATGCTAGCAGGCCGGGCTGGCTGGCAGCAGCTGCCTCGCAGACGCCCACCTTAGCTAGGTATCACGGAGCCAGCCGGGATTTTCCCCTTTCCTTTTCCTATGCCTCTGTTTCCTTGCTAAAGCGCTGCGGGGCTCGCAGCGTTCCAGAAGAGGCGCGTCGGTGGGGAGGGCTTGGAGGGGGAGTGTGCGGGGAGCCGCGGGGAGCATCCCTGCGCCTTTAAAAGGCTGCGACCGGCCGCCCCGTCCCGCCCCGCCTGCTGACCGCGCCGCTGATCCCGGCAGGGCCGCGTGAGCCGGTCGGGCGGCGCGGCGCGGGCTGCGGGCGGCGGGGAGGGAGGCCGACTGCAGGCCGAGATGCTGCAGCTCGACCTCATCGACGCCGCCGGGGACGCGCCGGCCGAGGAGCAGACGGCGCCCGCGCCCCTGCAAAAGGAGCCGCCGCCCGCCAGCACCGACAGCTACCGGCCCAAGCGCCCCACCACGCTCAACCTCTTCCCGCAGGTGCCTCGCAGCCAGGTGAGCGCCGGCCCGGGGGGCTCTCCCGGCACCGGGGGCTTCTGCCGGGGATGGGTGCGTGGTCGGGGGCGTGAGGGATGCGGGGGGTGATGCGCTCGTTCCCTGCTGAGCCGAGCCCCCGAGCGTTGGGAGGCTCAAAAGTGGGCTGCGGCCGCCCCGAGCCCGTGGGGCCAGGGTAAGGCGCTTGCGAGCGGGGAAGGGACCTTAGTGGGGACAGGGAGCTAATGAGGCGTGGCATCCTGAACGCGTGAATGAGCCATCCGTCCCAGCACCGCGTCCCAGATCAAGGGCTGGCAGCGCCGCGGCTGCAGCCTGGTTCGGGCCGGTGACGCAGCCCTGTGTGCTCGGCGCTGGGACTGGAGCTCCGCTCCTGGGCGGCTACACCCGGCAAGGGGGGCATCAGCGTCAGCGCCCAGTGCAAAATCGCAGCGACAATCACATTGCCCGAAACGGGACAGGAGAACGGGGGTTCGTCTTGCTCATTCTCAGGGCTTGCAGGAGGTTTTGGATGGAGCGTTTTCCCAGATGCAGCAGTGGGGCTGTCCCCAGGAGGGTTACACCGTGCTCAGCCGTGCACGCTGAGCCTCTGAGCTGGAGTCCCTTTGCCCCATCTCTCCTGCAAACCTTGCAGACCTAAGCAAGGTGTGCTGTGCACAGGGCTATTTTTGCCTTCCTCCTGCTTTCAGCAGTGGCTTTCATTGCCAAGTAGGAGGATTTTCCTGGTGGTGACGTGCAGCTGAGGGGCTTGAAGCTAGAGGCAGGTGTTCCTGCGGGTGACAGATGGGGCGTAGTTGGAGCTGGGTGTCACCAGCCTGAAACCTGCAGCTGATGCCAGCTTTGCCTGAGGCCATGGGTGGGAGGAGGAGGAGGAGGGCATGGAGCCAGGACAATGGCTGCAGGACAGCTGGCACCGGGGACAAAGGCAGCAGGGATGGGGAGGGAGGGGGGAGCCTGCTGGAGCATAATGGACAAGGGGACAGCAGGCAGCCTTGTCCCACCCTGCGCAGGGACCCCGAGGAGCCGGTGGCACGTGGGAGCCACATCCAGCTGGGGGGACGGGGACAGCAAAGGCCCCCCCCGGGCAGCTGGTCCCAACCAGCGTCCAGACCTGCGGAGAGGTATTTTTGGGGTGTGTGGGTTGTGTAGATGGTGGGCTGGGGAGGGGGAGATGATGGTCACCTTGTAGGGGATGGTGGAGACTGTGGGGCCACACTGGGAGCCATGGGCACGGTCTGTACTGAGGACCTTGAGGACAGGAGCTTTTCCACACAGGGTCTGATAAGGCTGGCAGCAGGAATGCGAAGTCCCTGTGCTCCAGGACAGGACAGGGAATCCCATGAATCTTAGTGGGCTTTAAGGCAGAGGATTGCTTCATGTTGATTGGGTGAGCAGGGTAGCTCCTGTGCTGCTTTTGATGTCTGCAGGAGAAAACCCCAAGAATCCCAAGCTTGGTGCTTGAGCAAAAACTAGCAGTGCAGAAAATGCGACTGCTGCAGAGAGACAAAGACCCGTGCTGCCCCCAGAGCCATCTGCAAAGTCTGGGAGCAAAGCGTGCCCTGGCTGCGCTTGAGGATGGTCACAGTGACCCTGAAGAAGCTCTTGGGTGGTCCCAGGGGTTGTGATGGCTCTGGCTGCTGCCCATCGCTGTGGGGTGGGCAGGGACTGGTGCCACGTGCTGTTTACTGCTGGGGTGACAAGGCGGCTTTGTTCTCCTCCTCAGGACACCCTGAATAACAACTCTCTGGGGAAAAAGCACAGTTGGCAAGAGCGGGTGTCCCGGTCATCATCCCCTCTGAAGACGGGTGAGTTGTGGGACTGGTGGCCGAGAGCAGCCCCTAGCTCCTAGGAGTCAATCCCTGTCCCAGGGCCTGGAGCAAGCCTTGCTGAAGCAGAACGTTGGGAAAATGTCCCTGGTGGGCACGTGTCCAGCTTGAGTCTGGGGCGTCCCTATCAGTGGGAACACCAATACTGCTCTTCTCCTCACAGGTGAGCAGACCCCTCCCCATGACCACGTTTGCCTGAGTGATGAGGTCAATCACCAAAACAGCACAACCTCCACCAAAGACCGGGGCACATCCACAGAAAGCCCATGCCGGCGCACGGCAGCCACTCAGATGGCACCCGCCTGTGTTGCCTCCTCCCGGCCCCCCGAGAAGCACCAGGCTGCCAGCCAACCCCCGCCCCACGGTGCCAGTGTGGTGGTGGTGACATCGAGGGCCCCTGAGGCCCACCGGGACCGCATCCGCTACCAGACAGACGTGAGGCTGGAGGCCACTGAGGAGATCTACCTGACACCTGTGCAGAAGAACTCAGACCCGCTGGAGACCGAGAAGCCGTTCCTGTCACAGTCCAGTGAGAACCGCATGTCTATCAGCTCTGACATCGACACCTCCAGCTACTCAGCCCTGGCTGGGAAAACCAACCCCTCCATCAGTGAGGAGGATGAGGTGCTGGACTACATGTCCTCCCCTGACAAGACGAGCCTGCCCCGGGTCTCCTGCGGTGGTGGGACCAGTGGCTACCGGCCAGGCCACGGCCTTCAGAGAGCATCCGTGAGCTCAGACACCAGCGCCCTCTCCTACGACTCGGTCAAGTACACGCTGGTGGTGGATGAGAACGTGCAGCTGGAGCTGGTCAGCCTCAAGCAGTGCTACTCGGGCTACAGCGATGAGAGTGACTCGGCTACTGTCTATGACAACTGCGTCTCCTCACCCTACGAGTCAGCCATCGGTGAGGAGTACGAGGAGGATGCGCTGAAGCGCGACTCGGTCTGCCTCTCTGAGGACTCCACCCCCGAGGCGGACATCCACTTCTCCAAGAAGTTCCTCAACGTCTTCATGAGTGGCCGGGCGCGCTCCTCCAGTGAGTGCTGGGCGGGGGAGGATGTGGGCTGGGGGTTGTGTCCCCAGGCAGCCTTGCTTAGCCCTGGTACCAGCTTGCCCAGCCCAGGGAGCCCTGCAGGACCTCCAATGAGATGGAGAAGCTTCAGCAGGCGCTGGTTCCACAGCCTGCAACCTCTCCCCTTGTGATTAGAGAGGGGTGGGCTGGAAAAGCTTTGTGAGCTCTAGGCAGGGGTAGCTGGAGTTGTCAAGCTGTTGGGGTTTTTTTTTTGTCTAGTGTGAGGAATGACCAAGACAGCACAACCTGAGCTAAGGCCATGAGGTGTGAGCTTGAGGGTCTTGTCCTTCCCTGTGTGTGGTACTGACTCCTCAAAGCTGCAGCATGCCCCTCTACCTTCCTCCCCAGGTGCTGAGTCCTTTGGGTTGTTCTCTTGCATGATCAATGGTGAGGAGCAGGAACAGACCCACCGTGCTGTGTTCAGGTGAGTGCAGGGCACAAGCAGTGTCCTCTGGTCCTACTCAAACCATGTAGTTTCCAGCATGGAAAACCTGTGAACTAAACCACAGTCCTTAGGCTGGTAGTAGGCCCAGCAGGAGCCAGGCACTGGCTGGGCAACATCTTCCCAAGGGTGAGAGACCTCCCAGGGCACCCAGGAGCACTGGGAGCCGCATGGGGGACGCCAAAAGGGAAACCTTGCATTAGTGCCAGGTACTGTCTCCTTTTGAGCCTGAGCCCACTCAGGTGTCTATTTAGCACATCAGATCTTAGCTCCTTCCACCTGCTCCCCAGCTGCGCTGGCTGCAGGCCATGCACTACCCTTGTCCCAGAGGTGTGTCGGTGAGCATGCCACCAGAGCTGCCAGCCAGCACAGTGCTAGTGATTCCCTGCCCAGGTTTGTTCCTCGCCATGCGGACGAGCTGGAGCTGGAGGTGGATGACCCTTTGCTGGTGGAGGTGCAGGCAGAAGATTATTGGTACGAGGCCTACAACATGCGGACAGGGGATCGGGGCATTTTTCCTGCCTACTACGCTATCGAAGTCACCAAGGATCCAGACCATATAACAGGTACCAGGCCTCTGTACTGCTTATGTCCCTGATCTCCTGCCCACGTCCTCACTATGGAACAGGAGGTGGAAAGAGGACATCAGGCAAGGAATGACGTGGCCATGGGCAGCTCCAGCCAGTAGTGGTCAGAGCTTGCACCCATTGCTGGGTGGGGAATGGTGCAGGTTTGGGAACATGGAGATGGCCAACAGAGGTGATCCTTGCCATGTGCTCTGTCTTCTAGCTCTAGCCAAGAGCAACGACTGGGTGGACCAGTTTCGGGTGAAGTTCCTCGGCTCGGTGCAGGTTCCCTATCACAAGGGCAATGATGTACTGTGCGCGGCCATGCAGAAGGTAGTGTCCCACTGTGGGCTGAGCCTGCCTGGGAGCAGGGAGGAGATGGGAAGGGGTGGGCCATCTTCGCATGTTGCCTATGAGTGCCAGGGATTTATGTCTTTGTCTCCCTCCCCAGATTGCCACCACGCGCCGCCTCACTGTGCACTTTAACCCACCCTCCAGCTGTGTCTTGGAGATCAGCGTGCGTGGGGTCAAGATAGCTGTGAAAGCCGATGACTCCAAGGAGCACAGCAAGGTAGTGCCCTGTTCACCTCATTCCTTCTACTGTTACTACTCTGAGCTTGCTGGTGCCCCCATGCATGTTCACATAGAAATTAAGGGCCTCCATCCCATGTGCTCTTTGTTCCACTAGAAACACCATCCAAAAGGCTGTGGGTCCTCCACTGGGGTCCCTGAAGCCTAGTGAGATCCCAGCATTGGGTTGTGTATCAGACTGGTGCTCTTGCAGATGCCAGGCCTGTTACTGTGTTAGGATGCTGTGAGCTGAGCTGCACCCCTAATCCGTCAGCTGTTCCTAAACCTTTCTGCTACTATTTTGAGTGGTGTCCTCCGGATCTTCCCTGTAATCTCTTTAGCTGGGCATTGCAAGCTGCTGATTAGTGGTCTCCATAAGTAGCCTAACAGAACACAGCAAGATGCTGGGCAGAGGCGAGTGAAGCCTTCCCAGCAAGCCTTTTGGAAACCTCCCCTGTGGGCAGTGGGGGGAGCGTGGCTGTGGGTACTGCTGTGGAGAGCTGGGCTTAGCCTGAGCACCTATTTCCAAAGCTGGAGTCCAGCTGTCCCACAGGACTGCTGAGGAAGATAGCTTTGACTGTTCTTTTATTTGTCCCCCAGGTAAACAAGTGTAGCCATTTTTTCCAGCTGAAGAACATTTCCTTTTGTGGATACCATCCAAAGAACAACAAGTGAGTAGCAGGAAGTGTGGGGCAGCTATCAGTGCTTTAACACATGGAGGCATCACTGCTTTCTAGCTCCCAGCATCGTCATCCCACAGCTTCATGTGAGGAGCAGCCTTTGGGTGGGAATCACATCCTTGATGTGGGCCTGGGAAGTGGTCACTGCTGGGGTTTGAACCCCAAACCCCTTTGCCAAGGGTGGGCACAGGTATTTATTTCTGCCTGTCTGCTAGTCCAATCTCACTTGCTCTGTTCACCCTCAGATATTTTGGGTTCATCACCAAGCACCCTGCTGACCACAGGTTTGCCTGCCACGTCTTTGTCTCGGAGGAGTCCACGAAGCCTCTGGCGGAGTCTGTAGGGTAAGTCCTGGGATGGGAGGAAGGTGCTCCCTCCTGAGGGACAGGAGGAACGAGAACCTGGCACCTCTTCCCTACAGTGAGAGGCTCAGGGATAGAGCCAGAGCTGACGCTGCTATAGGCAGCATATTCCTGACAGTGCTGGAACAAGTCCCAGTGCAAAGCTTTGCAGGCAGATGGCTGAAACCCAGGGGCTGTGTGGAAGCTCAGAGCTGAGATGGAGGCCTTGTTCCAGCAGCACCTCTGGGCACTAATGCATGAGGATCCCAGAGCTGGATCAGGGTTCGACCTGACAGCAGGATAGGGGGGCAAGGGCGAGAAGGGAAGCAAAATGGGCTCTGTAAATGCCATTGGGAAGGTACAGTTGAGCTTTGCTCCATGCTGTGTTGCAGGAGGGCTTTTCAGCAATTCTACAAGGAGTATGTGGAGTACACGTGCCCCACAGAAGACATCTACCTGGAGTAGGGGCTGGCATAGGCACCTGCTGCACAGCCAGGGCTGCAGTCTCGCCCCTTCCGCGTCGTGCATGGACAAGAGCTGCTTTGAGATTGGAGAAGTGAGCCCAGGGAACAGCTCCCAGAGCCCTGTGCTGCCTCTTTTCATGGCTCCCCTTGCTCAGGCTGGGGGGGTTGGGGAGGGGGGAGGGCTGGACAAATCGTGTTTATTGTACAAAATACTTAGTTTATTCTATTTGAGAAGTGCCCATTGGCTGCCCAGTCTGTGATTGCTGGAGGGGCTGGCATTCTCCAGCCCTTCTCTGATGCAGGCTGGGGTGAAAACATCTCGCTGTGACCATGGCTCAGCTTCCCGTCACATCCCTCAGGGGTGACGTCTAATGCAGTGGCAGAGTCAGACTCTTGCAGGATGAAGACACAGAAGCTACAGCCAACAAGAACTGTATGATGGCTCTTGCCAGGGCAGAGACCATCACTTCTCTGCCTGGCCCCGGGGACAAGGGTGCTGGACAGGAAGGTTAGAGCCCAGCATCTTTGAGTGCCAGAGGAAGGATGAATGAGCTGAGACAGCTCACTCCTGCCTCTGTTCCCATCCCTCCTCTCTTGTATCCATGCCCTGGGGAGAGAAAGATTCCCTCCTACCTCTCAGCAGTGACCACACCATGGGGAAGGGAGCATTTCTCTGTCCTTGTCCCCCTGTATCCCCTCCAGCTGCAGGTGGCAGAGGCAGGACAGGGCTGAGCTACCCCACTGCAGTGGTTCTCAGCCCTGTGCAGACTGGGGTGCCTGCCAGAAACGGAGCAGAGAAGGGCTAAAGCCTGCAGGGAGCCATACACATCTCCAGGGATGTACAAAAGCTCTCCTGCTCCCTGCCAGCGGTCTCCGTGCTTCAGCTGGATCTGCTGTGATGGCAACAACTATTAAATATGATGGTTCATGGAGCAGGACTGCGGTGCTGTTTGTGTTGGGCGGGTTTGGGTCCTGGCTTGTTCCTTCCCCTGGGGAGCCCAAAAGGAGCTGGAGTTTCTCAGGTCTGCAGACCTTGGAGGTCAGAGACTACCATAAGATCTTGGCGTAACTTAATTCTTGTTTTTCCATTTACAGCGTCAGGAGGAATCTGGTTATAGCCTCCCTGTATTTGCCATTAGGTTATTGAAGGCAGCAATAATATATCTTCTCAGCCTTCTCTTTTTCAGGCTGAGAAACCCCAGCTCCTCCAGCTTCTCCTCCTATCCTGTAGTGTGGCTGGAAAGCCCTTGTTCCTGCACCCCACACCTACCTGAGTGCCCTGCTGTCCTTCACAGCTGGGCATCATAGTAGTACTCCAAGTCAAGCTCATCACGTTTGGTTTTGCCAGCCCTCTGCAGTCCTGCTGGCTGCTCCCGGGGTGCTATGGTCCTGAAGTGAGGCTGTTTTGGTTTAATGCCATAATCTGTAGGTAGACAGTGGGGTGAGGGCTCGGGAGCTGTCTGTGTCATCAATGGGGAAATGAGTGCATGGGAGGGAGTTTGAGGGAAGAGCTGTACCATCCACCAAGCCAAAGTGCTGCTGTGGGAGTTCCAAGGGGGCAGAGAAGTCTTCAGGGACAAAATAGCTGCAGAAGAAAACCAGAGGTGGGAGTGAGCCCAAAGCTCTCCAGAACTTGCCCCCATCAGCGATAGAAGCCCAAGCCTGGTCCAGGAGCACTGGTTACAGAAGAAGGAGCATCCAGCCCCTGTGGCACCACTGCAGGTACTGGGGCAGGGAAGAGGTGGCGGAGTCATCACCTTTGGCGCAAGGGCAGAGGAAGCACGGCCCCGAGCAGCACAGTGAGCAGCAAGAGCCAGCACTGCATGCTGAGTTCTGGTACCCACCACTGTCACATTCTGCAGTGAGGTCACAGAGGAACCACCTGGGTAGCCCAAGAACTTCTCCTCTCCTGTACTTAGAATCATAGAATGTTTGGGTTGGAAGGGACCTTTAAGATCATGCAGTTCCACCACCCCCCCTCCAGTAGGCAGGGACACCTCCCTCTAGACCAGGTTGCTCAAAGCACCATCCAGCCTGGCCTTGAATGCTTCCAGGGAGGGGGCATCAACAACCTCACAGGGCAACCTGTTCCACTGTCTCACCCCCCTCACAGTAAAGAATTTCTTTTTTGGCTCTCTTCTTTCTGGGCTTTATCTTCTTCCACTCCTTCCTTTTCAAATTCCCAAATGAATGGAGCACAGTTCACTCAGCTCATGCCTTTCATTTTGCCATGTGGTGGTAACACAGATGCCATGCAGTGCCAAGCCCTGGGTCCCTTTACTGCTGTGGCCTAATAAGGGGATGTACCTTCCCCTACCCCAGTTTGGCTCCTAAGGTAAGACAGCTGTGATTCCTGTATCCTGGGAGGCCACTGAGGATGGTTTAGGTAGGACTGCTGTCACCCATGTGGCCAACTCACCATTGGTCAGAACCAGGTGGCACCACTAGCAGGTTTCTGGCTCCCAGAGTTGCGTGCACAGGGCTGGCAACAGGTGGGCTGCTGCTCTCGGTGCCAGGGGCTGTCTACGCCCTGTTCTGGATGAGGGAGACTGCACAGCAGCTGACCAGCTAAACTGATGTCTTAAATTAGCAGAGGTGATAATGAATATGGTCATAGCTGTCCAAACCTCAGCCTGACCCTTTATTAAATGCTGCACAGCAGTATTTGCTCAAATTAATCCTTCAGTTCTCTTCTCTGCCTTTGGCCAAGCCCCTAAGCACTGGATGGCAGCCATTCTGCAATCCTGTTTAGTATGCATAGGGTACTAGCAAAGCAGCCTACGAACTGCAGCTCTCCCAGCCTCAAGATGAACCCCAGGAAACTTGGGGCTGAACCAGGCAGGCACCTGGAGTTACAGACACAGCCATCAGCTAAGCAACATGCAGGGCTCTGCCCCTACGTAGGTCAGAGCAAAAGGCTTCTAAAGAACAATACAGAAATGGGACCAGTATATCCCAGGCTAGACAACTGCAAAAACTGCTCTTTCCTGATAGAGACAGACCTGTTGGCAACCCAAATCAAAGACTCAAGGGGATCCCTTGTAAGCAAGGGAAAAGAGCTCCTTCAGCTCAGTTCTTTCCATTCAGTTTATTTGACAGACAAGCCCGCTCCAAGCAGATCGGCCAGGCATGGCCAACACAAGCAGGCTGCAGGTCAGTCTTAGCGAGGTGGGAGACTATGCTCTCCAAAAATCTCTATACTGCCTGGCTTTAGTATAGCGCAGCCATACAAAAGGAGAAAAATCAAGTGCTTAAAAAAGGTTGTCCCGTCACCATCACTGCAGCCACAGCAGTTCATAGAAAGAGGTGTCCAAGGTCTCTCCACACACATAGTGTCCATCATTCACAGCCAGATCTGTTAAAAAATTATTTACACCCCCCTCCCCACCCTGCAGAACAGGAACTTCTCATTGATGGTTTAACTGAAAATTAGATATAATCAACATGCCTTCTTTCCCCCAGCCATCCTTAGAAACAACCATCCCTGATCTTAGCAAATAAAAATCATCATCTTCTCATCAGCCCCAGTTATAGAAATAGATTTTCTGCCAGGCAGGCAAGTAATCCATCAGTGGCCCTGAAATGAGAGAACAGATATCTCACAGTTAGAAAGGCAAAGATCAAAAGATGTATGCAAATGGTGCCAGTACCCTCTCCTCATTATGATACCCAACAGTTCCAAACCTCCACTTTCAAAACTAAGAAACCCACGAACAGAATAGTTATTTTTGCCAAGGTGGGAGGCAACTTTGGGATGTAGTGCTGGAGTTTAGAGCAGGACCAAGGAATGCATTAAACATGGTCAGCACAGACATGATGTGGGACACCACTCTCTCAGTGCTGACACACCCAGGTTCTGGTGGGAAGGGACTTTGACTGTGACCAAGGGAAAAATCTGCATACAGTGAGTCAGGAGGACACAGCAAAGAGAGACAGCTCAGCACTAATGGGCAGGTGCAAACACAAAAGCAAGTGCTGTATAGTAAAATATGCTTATGTTGGCACAAGGTTTAATGCAGAGAGAAAGCCTGCATTTCAAAGCCTCTCTGAAATCATTAACTGGAGGAGAGGCTCCTGAGTTAGCAAGCTTTGTGCCTTCCTCAAAGAAAGGACAGTTCCACAATCTAATCTAATTCCATATCACTGCCATGAACTACTCACTCCAGAAACAGTTTCACATCATCAGGGACGAGGGGTAGGTGAAAATCTGGCCCATAAAAAAGGGATCTTTGTGTGAAAGACAAGGAGAAAAAAGACCTGATTTGGGCTTTTGCTTTATAATACGCTCCTGGCTGTTAATACTTCTAGACAGCTACCCCTCATATCTGTATTGCAGACTGGGGATCAAGGAAAAGGGTCAGAAGCAATTTCTGCAAAGCAGGGCTCTGATGCAGTAGTACAGTTGCAGAAGGCAGCCCAAGGGAACAGGCCTAGGTGGCAGGGACAAACCTCTGCAGCCTGTGAGAGAATCTAGAAGTCTACCACTGTGGTTGAGCACAGGCTGCAATATTTTTCTGGTCCATCTTAAAGCAACTCCAGCACCAATACAAGATACAGTGAAGCTAACCATCCCAGGGACATCCCAATCCCTTTTTCAGGTCAGAGGCTCCTCAACAAATATTCTGCTTAACTCCCATGATTCTTCTTCATCTGCAAGAAACAGGGACGAGCAATGGGTCCCACTTACGTGTGACAAAGCCAAGTCCAGGCACATAATCAGCCAACAAACGCAGGAGGAAGAGGATCCTTGCCCTAGTAAGGGAAAGAGTATGAATGAGCCCAGTGGGATATCTCCCGTCCAAGCTATTGAACACGTTAACAGTGACAGCAGGAGTTAGGCAAGGGGCTTGTATTAACCTGGTCACAGGCACCCAGACCTCTTCAGATCTGCTCACCCAGTCCCCTGATGCTATTTCTGTTCAAAGGGAAATTCTCAGCAAAAGCCCAACAGGGCCCCTTACTCTGAGTATCGGTCATAGAAAGGAGATCTCAACAGGTAGTACAGCAGTAGGATAGTTCGTCTCCTCAGCTCTGCTCGCTCTCTCCTGTTCAGGTCTTTCAGATCACTCAGCAAACTCAAACTGGAAGGAGAGGAACAGAAAGTGAACTTACAGCAACAGCAGCTGATAGGAAAATTAAAGTGAGTTTCTAAATGCTCTCTGTCCTCAGGTCCCTACAGAGCAGTCTGCACCAGAACAGAGAGTACTGTGTTGCAGAAAATACCCAAATATGTACATCTCCCAGTTAAAAACAAGGCTAGCCCCTGCACACATTTCTGGCAGTAGGGCCTGCCATGGATTGGGGAGCAAGGGAAAGTGTGATTTTTTCAGCAACCACTCACAAAGACTGACCTCGAGATATCCAGGACTGCTGAGAGGAGCCAGGGTTTCCATGATCTCTGTCCCCACACTCCCAAACTCAGTACTAGGAATGCATAGTCAAGGAATAGAAAGAACCAAACAGGCCTAACAAGAAGCATAGAGCCAGACAAGCAGCTTGCTAGGTATACCAGTAAAGCTCTACAGAGCCCAGAAGAAAATGCTCTTGGACAGTGCTGGAGGGCTCCACAGAAGGGGCTGGAGGTCTCATGCACATAGCTCAACTGGCTGATGCTGGCCATCAAGATGCAATGGAGGAGTTCCCAGGCCCTTGCACAAGCAGAACAGCAGTAGGAAGAAGAGTATGGTGTGATCCTACACCAGGGCTCAGCAGATGAGCCCATAGCACCCTCTGCTGGCACCCGGGGTACAGAGCGTGCTCTCACATAGCCAGGGCAGGATACAGTGGAGCAGAGGACGAGTAAGGTAGATCGATTCTGCGATGGTTTCTTGGAGACCCAGAGGAGTGGGAGGCTGGTTCATCTCCTCTGCTCTTCGGCTCTGTGTCTCCTCCCTCTGCTGGGGGGATCCCCAGTGCCTGGACTGCAGGGAAGGAGCTGAAACAAGCACATCAGGTCACTCACACAACGTGTACCTCCCTACAGTCAACTCATGTCTCTCTGCACTGTGAAGTAGGTGAGCTGGAAGAGAAGCACAAGCAGCAAGACTACGGCTGCACTTTCCTTGTTGCTGCCGCTGAACAGCACCCTTAGTGCTTGCCTGAACAAGGGAGGCAGCAGGGAGAAATACTCTTAAGATTCATGTTTCTCAAAGCAGAACTACCACTGGTCTTGCACCATGTGTGAGAATTCCCATGGCTTTAGTATTCCCCCGCCCATGGGGCCCAGTGACTGGCAGGATACACCCCCATACAAGCTGATCAGGTTTTTTGCTCTTTACTGCCCACACCCAAGACCATACATCAAGGGCACAGAACAGAAGCAGCTCAGACAAAGACAGAAAACAGGCTCAGCTACTTACTATTTTGGAGAGATCTCACAACGCGGCTGGAACGCCTACCAACATAGGTCTGATCTTTCCCTGAGGAGCTGCCTTCCACATCTGCAGGAGAAAACAGCCACAGGGGTGAGGCTCCAATGGAATGTATCTCAACCTGGTCTCTATATTGTCAGCAAGAAGACTGCACTGAAAGTTTGATCTAGTTCAAAGTGTACCATCCTGAAAGGGCTAGCATTACAGAGCTCTCAGAGGGTGAAGAGATACATTTGCTTGGCACTGCCTAGAACCATCAGAGCAGTGAACTCGCAGCTTGATTCACAATTCAGCCGTTATTTCCCAAACCAATGACAGCACTGAGAGCTCACCTTCGGAGTGGAGAGACTGCTGCTGCTCCCTGTTCAGTGGCACTATGGGAGGAGATGTCTGGATGCCAGCTTTATACCACAGCAGCAGCAGGAGGCGGAGGATGGCCCTGTGGGCAGACACACAGGAAGCCTTCAATACCCAGCTGTGGAGCTGGGTTATGCTGTGCCCGAAAGATGACGTTCCCAGAAAAGGGAAACACTCAGATCCACTCAGGGAAGAGTTGAGAGGCACCCTTCTGCAGCACAGTACCCCTCACTGCAGAAGGCTCCAAACTCCCCCAGTCTCAGGGACCGGCTACTCAGTCTTGCTTGGGATTTTTCCTGGGGTAATGCCAAGACCCCTCCAGGTTGCCCTTCCAGGCACATGCAGCCCCCTTCCCCACCGCCTGCGGCACTTACTTAGCCAGCTGGATGAGGACAATGATGGTCCATCGGCCCATCTCCCCCCACACCCTGGCTGTCCCCATCTCTGCAAAGACCTCCACACATTCTAGCACGCTCAGCCAGGTCAGCAGCTTCTGCTGGGGCAGTGACTGCAAAACACAGGAAAGGGGGACAGGATGGAGGTTCTGCTTGCAAGTTGAAAGGGAAAGATGCACAGCCTAGTCTGGTGGGATTCTTGGAGCTAAAGGAGCGATGGCCCTGGAAGTCAGAGCCTCCGAAACAAGAAGTGGTCCCTCTCCTATGGCCAGAGCCCACATGTAGGCCTGTTTCCCTACTTCTGAGCAGGAGCAGACCTGGATATCACTATACCATATGGAGCTGCAACTCCATAAATGGGGAAGATATCACAGCTGAATGCCAGTTTGCTTTCTATCCCAAGTGAAGCAGCTAGCAATCTCCTGGGTAGCAGTACAGTGCCTGAACTCCAAAGGCAGAACTTTCCTCCTCCTCATTCTAGAGCTGAGACACTTGATGACCCTCTTCCCCAGGCACAGCTGATGGGTACACTTGGAGCACAGGGTCCAGTGCTGCTAAGCAAATGCCTGCCAAGTACAAACTTATAGCATCAGTCTGGATCCCAGACATGAAGCCCACAGCTGCCCGGACTCTTTCAGCAAGAGAACTCGCTGGCGCTGTTCACGGTGAAGTACAACCTGTATTACTTGAAAAGCACCCACAAAGAAGATACAGCTGAAATTCACCTCACCCCACGCTCAGCTTTTATCACCAAGGGAAGCGAGTCTTCTGCTCAGATGGCTGTCACGTACCCCGTGTTCCGGCCAGGGCCGCCTGCGCGGGCTGACACTGAGCCACCCACATCCAGGCCCAGCGGGTGGGCAGGCGTGCAGCAGAGGCCTGTCTGGGAAAAGAGAAGCCCTCCTTCTCCTTCCCCAAGGGTCTAACTGAGGGCTGGGAGCCGGCCCGGGGCTGTGGCGAAAGAGGCGGCAGCCAGCTGCTTTCACCTTCGCTTTGCTCAACACCGCAGGCAAAGAAAGAAAGGCTCGGTCGGAGCTTTGGCGCTCCGCAGACGGCGGCGGTCGCTGAGCGGCTCGGTTCCCGGCGCGAGTCGGGGCCCGATCCCCGGAACCCCAGGAGCGCTCGGCTCCGGGCCGGCGGCCCCGCGTTCAGCAGCCGTACGGCGGCGGCCGCGCGCCCTGCCCCCGCGCTTACCCCCGGCAGGCCTCGGGGCAGCTCCTTGCGCAGGATCCAGTCGTTGAGCAGCACCAGCAGGTTGGAGGCGGAGTACACTGCAGCGGGAACACGGCGCGGGGTTACGGGCGCGCCGCAGGCGGCCGCGGGACCGGGCCCCCCGCCGCCCCGGGCCCTACGTACCGAGCTCCGACAGCTCGTGGGCGTCCGCGAAGCGACCTGCGGGGAGAGGAGAGGAAAGCGGCCGTGACGCGGCGCCGCTGGGCCGCACGCGGCGCCGACGCGGGGCGAGGGCCGAGCCGCACCTGGCAGCAGGTAGGAGAGGCCGCGCACGGTGCCCTCCAGCTGCGCGGTGGCGGCCGGGTGCCGCCGCACGTACTCCTGGTAGCGCTGGCACAGCTGCCGCAGCCGCTGCACCGCGCCGCGGGACGGGGCCGCCGCCGCCGCCGCCATGCTTCCGCACGGCCCCGCGCTTCCGGCCGCCGCCGCACCGCGCACGCGCGGCCCGCCCCGCTCTGCGCGGCCGACGGGCGCCGGGGCGGGGGTTTAAAGGCACGGCGGCGGCGGCACGGCAGGTGCGGGGCGCGGCGTGCGGTGGCGGGCTGGGTGCTGCGGCCGGGAAGGGGAGCGCCGGGGGGTGGGGGTTCGGCGGATGGCCGGCCTGCCGAGGGATCTTACGGACGCGCTCCGGTTCGCGGCCGGGCTCGGGAACTCGGGAAGGCGGTTCCCCTTTGGGAGCCGTGCCCGGGGAGCGCCTCGGCTCGCCCGTCTTTGGGCACCTGTCGGGGGCTTGTTTCTGGAGGCGGCAGCAGCCCGTGCTTCTGAGGGTCGGAACTGCGGCGTCCGGCTGCTGTGGGGCGGATGAGCGCTGCCCGGGGGTCCGTGCTGCGCGGACGGGTGCCCCGCAGCCTCGTGTTCCCTTCCTGATGCGTGTGCCTGCCCTCGTGGAGCCGGGGGACGTGTTAGGGCCAGCCTGCAGCCACATGGGGCGGCTGTGAGGGTTACGCGTGGCTGCGGTCACGCTGTGGGCTTTGTGTAAGTGCCAACCCTGTTCTTCAGGTACGGGGTGCATCTGGCCGCAGCCTGTTGCGGCACGGGGGACCGAAGCTGTTCTCTTCCCTGCTGTGCTCCATCCGTGCCGGGCCGGTGCTCCTTGGCCTCGTGCTGAGTCTGCGTGGCCCAGGCTGTGTGACCCGCTGACCTGTGCCCGGCACAGGTACTTCAGAAGGTGCACAGTGTGGGTAAAGAGGGCGTTTTATGGCCTCTTGCAGCCGCCCCGGAGCAAACAGAGTCCTGCCGGGCTGCCCCTCCTTCCTGCTGTCCGGTTACCTCTGCACAATGGATGCAGTGTGTGCCCGCAGCCTCCACCGCGAGCGTTGCCGTTGCACGGGCAGGCGCTTTATCCTCTCTGATCTCTCTGCTTCTCCCCCCTTCCCCTGAGGGTTTGTTTTCCAGCAGGCTGAGTTCAAAAAGGGCACGAGATACTGCTGGCAAGCAGCCCGGCACTAAGCAAACCGCTTCAGTCGGAATTGCATGGATTAGACCCAACTTTCAGCTCACATGCAGCGCTACCTGGGGCTGCTCTGAAATGCAGCAGTGGAGATGCTGGCATGAGTGTCAAGGTGGAGTGAAGTGGCACTCAGAGCCTGTGACAGGTCGGGGGACAGCTCATCCGCAGTCACTACATGCTGCTGATGACTCTGGGGGAATATCCGGTGCAGACTGCTGGGGCTGCTCTCCTTTAAGGAGACGATCTGGCCCTTCCAGACAGCAACTTGAGAGCCAGCTGCTGAGGAGTCTGCTGGAGGCACCTTGTCCACAGCCAGAGGTGAAGCCTGATGCACAGTGTCCTTGAGCCACTCTGAATGGTGGCACCAGATAGAGTAGCTCATCCTGAGTGAGAGGCTCCTTGGCAGAGGATTTACTCCCTGCCCCACCCCTGCTTGTCCTGTCTGCCTTTCTGTCTCCCTCCTGCAGTGAGCGAATTTGGAGTACGGTTGGAGTACCATCGTGGTGCCTTTTTATGGTAAATAAGCTGCAAGGGAGCACTCACTGCAGGAGGAGCTGCTGAGAGCCCATGAGATTGGGAATGATTTAAATTGCTTTGGTTTATAACATCCCTTGTGGGGGCAGAAGGTGAAAGCATGGGTTAAGGAGCAGTTTCTGCCCTGACTACCAGGAAGGATCTCTGAGCAGCTCTCTTCTTGCACTTACTGTTGGTTGGAGTGACAGAAGTTGGTGCTTACTGGAAATCCTCTGACTGAGGCCAAATGGTTCCTATGCTCCAATGACGAGGGATGCAGGCTCAGCAGTAATGGCAGGAAAAGAAGCAAACCCAAAAAGCACATGCTTTGCCAGCTCATCAGTGGGGGCCATGCTGAAGTCCAGCTTGCTTGACTGCCAGCAGTTTGCTCTTGGCTCAGAGCTGCCAGACTGCATCACTTCTGGGGCAGCTGACCCCAGGCAAAGCATTGCTGTGGGGCTGAGACAGCACTCCCCAGAACTGGAGCTGGGACACAGGATAAGGCAGAATAGATTTAATGCACTGATGCTTTGTCGTGCCTTGGGAGGTTGGTACCTGGCAGAAGTCAGTGTTCTTCCCAGGCATGTCTTCCTGCTGCACTCCCACCAGCAGGGAAGGAGCCTGGCAGCATGAAGTTTGGGACATGGATCCTTTTCACCCTAGTGTGCGGTGGCCCTTCTGGCCCAGTCTCCCCTGCATGCCTTTCCAGCCCCACTCAGCTCTCATGCTGTGATTCTGTTTGATTTGCTTTTGAGTGAGCTCATCAGCCCTCTGGGATGGCTGGGGATAAGTTGTGGCTGGCTCCAAATGTCTTGTGGGGATTCATTTCCAGAGATTATTTTGGTCCCTGACATATGAGCCCTGGACGAGAATGGAAGGCTTGATGCACTCATAACATCTCTGTGGGGGCACCTTTCAGACGAGCCTCCAGTCCCTGCCCAAATGAGGAGGTGTGCAGGGAAGTGCAGCAGACTCTGGGGGTGGCGTTGCTGCTTGCCCCCTGCTCCCTTACAGCCTGCCGGGGACCAAAGAGCTGCACCAGCAGAGATGGTAGTGGTGTGGTCTCTGTGTTCCCAGAGTGTTAATGGTGGTCCACTGGAAAGAAAAACCCAAATCAGCCAAGCTGAAAGGGGGGGTTAAGTGAGCCTTCTAACTTGGAGGCATTTTCTTGCTATTCCCTATCATGGTGCTGCTGCCCTTCCCAGCTTAGCTGAGACTTGGCACCTCTTCTTGGCTTCCCAGGAGGAACAACATGCCTGGCAATGTGCACACAGCCTTGCTGTGAGATCATGGCTGCCTCCTGCTTCCAGATGCCTCTTCCAGAAAGCCATTTAGAGCCCTGGGCTGCTGCTTGGATAACTCCCTGCTCTGATTCATCAGCAATGTGCAGTCTCTCCCATTGTGTCCCAAATCAGCCTGTGCTAAAGGCTGAGAGCAAGAGGCAGTATCTTTTAATAACCCTGTGATGCAGCTGGAAAAAACTTCAGGACCTGTAGTTCTCTGGTGGCCTGGGTTAATGGGATGTTTGAGGGGGGAAACTGGGATGGCTTTGGGAACTTTAGGCAGCGGTGCTGCTGTAGGGCCATTCCTGGCTGAGCAGTGGCCACTCTGGGCTCCACCTCATCTGTCTGGCATTGCCACACCTGTACGGGGAGTTTGCTCTTGGTGGTGGGGCTGGGAGGATCCAGCTTGCTTGGCAGACACGTGCCCAGCTCTCCCTGCTTGCAATCACCTCTGCTGAAGGTGCCTTTGGTTGCCCAGCTCGCAGCTGTTGGAACTACACGGCTTTGTTCCCAGCAGCTTCTGCTGCTTCTTCCAGGTGGGTGCCTGAGGCTTGGCTCTTAGCTGCTGATACTGTTTGAGACTTGCAGAGCAGAGGTATTATGAGGCTTTGTTGCTGCGGGAGGGTTTTGCTGAGCACTGGTGCTGTGTTTCTTCACCAGAGTTACTTGGTTTTACTGCTTAGGTAGAGGCTGTTGTGAGATTTACAGTGCTACTGGCCATTTTTCAGACTGATGTTGTGTGTCTTGTTCCCTGTGTGCTGTGGTACGGGATCTTGCTGAGATTAGAGGGGTGCAGTGGGAGCTGTACACTACACTCTCATTTATCTGTTGCTTTGTGAAGCAGAAAGCAGGTCAGATAAACCAGGAAGATGTGTTGGTAAGTTTTACCATGGCTTGATGCTTGTTCATCTGCTGTGGCAGGTAAAGGGTGCATGTGCCCAGCCCCATGAGAGCCAGAGGGGTGTATGTGGGCTGCTCTGCTCCCCGTGGTTTAAGTGGCTCTCTCTGTCCCCCTCTCTGTCTTTTTCTTGTCTCTGGGCTGTGTGCTTGTCTGGACTGACTCCTGACCCAAACTGCTGAGGGTATGTTTCAGTGCTCAGGTTACTGAACGTGATAGTTAATCTCCTCACTGCCGTACAAGCTCAACACTTGCTGCTGCTCTCGTTTGAGAGGGAGCCAGGGGACTTGTGTTCCTCTCCCAACTCCTGCTAAAGAGTTGGTGTGAGGACTCACACGTGTTGTAATGGAGCATGGTCACTCTGCCAGCACTTCTGGGTATGGCTCTTGTGTGGGTGGGGCATGTGCTACGGGATGCAGAAGTGCTCTGGGTCTAGGAACATGCAGCACATGGATCATTTCCCAGGGGCTGGTTGGGTAGCCTCAAATAGCACTGAGGTATGCTGGGTAGCAAGCTGGGGAAAAGGGGCAGAATGAAAGCGTGGGATGGTGCTGCTGCTGGTTTATAATGCTTCTGGCTGTGCAAAGGCCTGCTGCCATAGCTCTTCTGTCCAGTAATTCTTCATGTGACTTCTGGTTTTCAGGTGACAGCAAGGTGCAAAACCATCAAGCAGAGTTGGGATGTGCTCTGTGCACCTCGAGATGGGAATCCCTGCTTAGAGGGTGGTTCTCACAGCTGCCACTGCACCCTGCCAGCTTCTTCAGCTATTGCCAGGTACCCCTACAACGCTGAAGCTTCCAAAGGTTAGTAATCTTGCTTGCTGAGTAGATGAGTTACATGTGCTTACTTTCCTCCTGTCTCAATGGTTCTGTGCTCAGTATGGTAAACTGGGGGCAATTGTGTGGCACTACAGGCTTCTTCCCTGTTCAAATGTGTGAGTGTTGAGGACGTGTGGGGGAGGTCCTGTAACAGTGCTGGCACTTGTAAGCTTCTGTAGGTAAGCTCTCTGCAGGGAAAGACCAGATTCCTGCATGAATCTGTAGAAAGAAGTGTGTTTCCATCTCTATTGCTATCTCAGTTCAACTTTCCTTGAATATATGCATCAGTATCTTCTTCACCAAAAACTAGAGTGGTCTATTGCTTGTTTCTTACGTGGTGGGCAGTCAGGGACTGGGGCTGAGGAGCTGGAAGAAGCTCTCTGAGCCATGGGAAATGGGATGACGCTCTTCTGATGGCTGAGAGCTTGTGCT